TTTATTAAAATTTTTTTAAATTATTAGTTTATTTATATTTAGTAAAAAATTAATATAAAATAAATTAATAAAAAAATTATTAAATTGATTTCATATAAAAAAATTGAGAGAATTTTTTTTTAAATGTAAGAAAAAAATTATTTATTAATAATTGTATTAAAAAAATAAAAACTTAAAATAATTTTTTTTTATTACAATATTAAAGTGTAAAAATATATAAATAAAAGTTATAAGAAAGAAAATTAGGAAAACCCTACACACTAAATGTTCATCATTTGTTTTTCGGATTTTTTTTTTTATTGGTTGTAGTGTTTTCATGTCAGCTTTAATATATTTTAAAACTAATTTATAATTTTGTTATAATGATAAAAAAAATCATCATTTTAAATTTAAAAATTTATTAAAATTTATTTTTTAATTAATCTCACCCGAAAGTTAGACCTTCGTTGACGTAAGGAGCACGCCTCCTCCGTCAATGCCGTATAAGGTTCGTTATTTTGTTGTAGTGCTGTCGACTTCATCTTTGTAACAAACCAGGAAATAAAAACGACAGGATGGAGGCATGGTGCCCTTTCCTAGCAGTCTCGGTTTGAATTTTAATCGTATGATTTGACAGAAAAACAACTAAACTTAATATTTTTCACTCAATTCCCAGAGCAATTTAACGTTAAAAAACTCCAAATTAATACTTAAATCTCATGACTTAAACTATTATAAATTTTATTGTAAGATTTTTTTAAAAAAAAATTAAAAAATTGAGATTTAAATCTTTTCCTCCGAGTTATAAGCCGTTAAAAAAAAAAACCCAAATTAGTAGAGCTCATTATCAGTAGTTTCTTGGACTTTGGTTTTGGTGGCTACTTTCTTCCTTCCTTACCTTTGTGTTTTTTTTTTTTCGAACGACGGTAACGTAGGGGAAGGGGAATTGTGTTGGCTTCCACGAGTTTTCCCCAATTTTTCAAAGGCAAAACCATAAGTTAAGTTACTAAACTAACCCCAGAATCACTATTAAACCCCTAAACTTTAATTGATATATATAAACCCTTAGATTCTGGGATCAAAGCAATTAAGCCCTTCTTCTTACGCCAACTTAACTACCGTTTGGGATTGCTCGCCTGACTTAATTGCCGTTGAGTACACACCCCGCTTGGCTGCTTGGATGGCAAAATATTAACATGTTATGCTTACCTGGCAAGGGATTTAACATTTGAGTTGGATATTTGATTTATTTGATAATTTAATTTATTTATTTAAATAAAATAAAATCATAAATTTGAGTGAAAATATTATTTATATAAAATCTTAAATTTAAATTTA